AGAGAGAGAGAGAGAGAGAGAGAGAGAGAGAGAGAGAGAGAGAGAGAGAAATGCAAATTAATACAGGTGACTGCTCAGCTGCTACTGTCCCCTGCCCCAAAGACAAAGCCACTCCAGGAGAAAGAACGAGGAACTTGGAAGGACTGTAAAATATGTGTTCTGGCAAACAGTTGTTAATGATCAGAGGCAAACATTAAAATTTCACATAAAAGGTACTGAAGTAGACGGACTTGTGGACATAGGAGGTGATGCAACTATCATTTCACAAAAATCTTGGAATTCAGGATGGCCACTTCGAAAGGTCTCTACACAATTTCTCGGAATTGGAAAGTTATCTCAGGTAAAACAGTGTGTGATGGCTGAACTGTGTGGGGCTGAAGGTCACAGCTAAGACCACTGTGGCTGACTTACCCGTAAGTCTATGGGGAAGGGCTCTTTTACAACAGTGGGGTACTCAGATCACTATTATGCAATCTTACAGGACAGGCAGTTGTAGAAAGATCTCATTCATTGTACCTTAAAGGAAATGCTTATTAAACAAAGAGAAAACAAGACAGAAACAGTATCAGTGGCTCTCTGCTAACTTTAAATTTTCTTCATGTTAATGAGAAAGGAACAACAACAGTCAAGAGACACTGTGTTTTAGAAAAAACTGGAATTACATCAGCCTACACACTGTAGCCTCTCTTATACCATCTCTTGTCAGTAAAAACGCCAGTGGCCAATGAGCTGAGGCAGGAAATGAGAGGTGGGACACAGGCAGGAAGAGAGGATTCTGGGAAATAAAGAATAAAAGGAGATGCGGGGAGAGAAGAGGAGCAAGACATCCGGGCGCCAAGGGCAGGACTGAGGCGGGGGACTAACCGTGTGTAACTAACCGTATGGGTGACATACAATAGTTCCAATGGGTTAAATACACTATGAGCGTGTCAGGGAATGAGCCAAAGCTTGTGGCCAAGGCATTTAGCAATAGTCTCAGAGTGGTCATTCCTGGAGCAGGGGCTGAGAGGAAAAACTGAGTCATTTTTTTTTTTACAATATAGTATAAGGAGGTGCTGATGTTAGAAAAGTTTTACGTTGAGGGTGGGAACTGTTTATACTTCCACAGGAAATGAAGAGCTGTGGATACCATCTCGAGTGATGAACTGATAGAGGTTAGAATTGAGCAGGCCGGGCTCCTGAAAACCTTGGCCACTGACCTGAATATCCAGTTCCTTGAAAACGTCTGCTTATAATTTCCCAATACACACAGCACAATTAATGACTTAAAGCAGAAGTGGGGAAATGTAGTGAGAACTCTGGAATTTTGGTTTCTTGAAAAAACAGAAATATTGTAAGAATGTTATTTTAATCCCCAGGTGTGGGGATGTGGGGCTGTTCTGGACTGTCCGTAGCAGCCGACTATGATTTGCCTCCTGCTCTAGCAGAAGCGTGGTTTTGCCAGCCGTAGACGGTTTCTGCAACTGTGTCATGTTTGAAATTCCAGGAACTTTTCATAGGGTCTATAAATGCTAGGCCCCCCGAAAGGCAGGGTGGGTGGTTGTTGGTCGGTTTTTTTGGGGGGGGAAGCAGGGTTGGTTGTGGTTTCTTAATCACGCTCAAAGAAGAAATGAAAGGAATTTAGACTCAGGGATTGCTCCCTCCCCCCGCCCCATCCTCATTTCAGTGCTATCTAGGGTCAGGGGGTGAAACTGGGGGAGGGAGCAAAGGGTGAGAAAATAAGAACCTACAAAATAAAGACCCAGCACCCACATGGAAGCTCACAACTACCTGTAACTCCAGTTCCAGGAGGATCTTAATCCTGATCTCCTGAAGCACAGGGCACATGTGGTAAAACACCCATACGATTAAGTTACATTAAAAGTTCTAGGAGGAGGTGCATTGCTCTCTCAAAGATCTTCAGGGACAGCGGTAAAGTGGCACGGGACACACAGGAGACAGTGTCTCTGCCACAAATTACAAACTAAAGCACGCCCAGGACAAGTGGCAATGCAGGACAGACACTGCAGTCACTGCACAGGACACAGGGAGAATTCCAGCCTCCACGCTGAAGAGGAAGTCTGGAGATTGATCAGGTGGAGGAAACGTGGAATTAGGAACTCTCACTTTCTGGATGGATCATAAACCACAGACTCTCTCCAGTCTGGGCAGGCTGGAAACTTAGTGAATACCACATTTTTATCCAACATTTATGAGTAATTTAAAAGTCTGCTCCATTGCCAACAATGAGAAACCGCAACTGCTCACACTGTCTTTTGGAGAGAGATGGTTTCACTTTCTCTATCAGGAAGGCAGGTTTTCATGATTAAGGAGAGCCAGCCTCAAAGCTTCCCAAGGTGTGTGTGTTACACAACCAAACACACTTGGCAATTGCTCATCACATCTCTCCAGCTCTTCACCTTCCTCTAGAGCAACCCTTCCCTGACGGTCATCAGGAAGCAACCGGCCACTTAGGAACCCTCCATCTTTCCCCTCAGAGCCAGGGCTTCACTTGATGTGCTCTTGAATGCCAGCCCCTAACTCCGTTCACATCACCAGCTGACATTGCCAGCCTATCACGACATTAGCTGGCCACACTCAAGATGTGTCTAAGAGCGACCCATGGCTAACGTGGGCCTGAGGTCCCACAACCGCATTGTTCAGAGCTAGCTAGAGCAGCCTCCACCCTCATCCCAGGACATAGCTCGGAGGAGACAACACAAGCATCACTGAGACAAAGTTTCAGTGACACTGGCTCCCTGGCACGCCAGGCTCCTCACTGTCCCATGTCTCTCCGCTGCACTGAGGCCGGGCGGGGGAAGCAGTCACCAATTTCCCTACAGAGAAGGCAGCAGGAAAATAGAAGGAAAAATGTGAGAGAAGAGCAGAGGATGTTCCGAGAGAATACAAGCCATGAGAAAAGACTCACGTTCCAGGAAGTATCCGAAGGGCCAGGAAGGTATCCAAAACCTTCCTTCCCATTGACAGGCTGGCTCTGAACTCAAAGTGGGGAAGGACTGGACTTATTATCTCTGTCCTCAAGTGATACGCTTGGGAAATGTGGTACACAGAGACTTTAATGCCCCCCGATTTCTAAGAAACCTGCCTGTTCCAGTATGAACTACCTGAGAGCAAGTTGGGGAGGCTGCTGAGACAGAACACAGATCTCTCATGAGTAAAGAGCAGACAAACTAGGGATCTTACCCACTTTCCGGAGGCCGTTTTGGGATTAGAAAGCAGGGTCACATTCATCCCACAGGCCCTGAACAGCAATGCCTACCACTATTTTCAGAAGACACTAGGCTCTATGTGGCTCGTGTCTGTCCTGTACCAACTGTCAAATATCTTGATCATCTCTGCATCAAGACGGCAGTGGTCCTGACAGGTAGGAACTGGCAACATGGTGTGGCCCTCGACACTGAAAGCCTTCAGAGAGGACTAGATGCCTCAGAGCCCGAGGGGAGCAACCTGCGACCAAATGATGTAGCGCTTCTTCACCCAGGAAAGGACGACAGCACGTTGTGTGTGTGGTCTTTGTACAGAGGCTGTCCTGGGTGGACAACAGCATGGCCAGATCACTAGTCACGTTCTGTGCACAGAGGAAGGGAAGGTCTCTAAGTGCTTGGTCCAAAAAACTGATGATAGTTTTGGAACATAGAAAAATCATACACATAGTTTTAAACTAAGTATCCAAATTGACTTCACCACTTACAGTTCGTTTCTTCATGTGGCTTTTACATTGGAGCCAGAACTTCTGTCAACAAAAGAGCTCCATGTTGAGGAAGCCGCTCGGCTGATGGCGGTTTGGCCCACTGAGCTGATGATGATGGTATTCTCCACTAAGGCAGTTGAGGGACACTCATGAGCACTCGGGTCTCTTGAGAGATGGCAGCAGCATGTCAAACAGTCCACAGAGGACAGCGTGACAACCCAGACCCACCTTCCTACCTCACAGACAGTTGGCAGCGAGTCTTTTCTAGACAGTTACAAAACAGACCTGGAACAAATCTTCAGGCCTGGAGTCTAAACTAAGTCCTTCCATAGCAAGTCAGGCTCCTCTTTCTCCAGCTCCAAGAAAACCCCAAGGAAAGACACTCATATTCCTATCACTGCCGGCTTCCCCAGGCCTTTCCTGAAATCAGCTAAACTCCTGCTCTCACGCTGTCCCCTATGGAGGTGATACAGGTGACCCAAGGTCTCATGACGTTATACTGCTTCTGGAGGTGATACAGGTGACCCCAGGCCAGAGGCAGCTTGCTGTGGTAGTTGGTGTTAGATGGCTGAGCTGAGGTAGCAAACCTGCTACATACAGCATCTGTCCAACATCCCCTTCCCAAGCAGAAAGGAAACTGAGGCACAGGCTGGTCACAAGCCTGCCCTTGTCCTGCCCCTGCCACTACTCCAGGCTAGCTCAGGAGAGGGACCACAGAAAAGAATCTTCCTTGACAGAATGGACTCATGTGGCTTAACAGGCCAGCAGAGTATCAGAGAGAATGTCTGAAAATGGAAGCTGGCTCTTTAATGGTGGCAGCTCTGAGGAGAAAGAAGGAAAAGGAAAGAGGCAGCAGGTGGTGGCCCCATGGTGGTGGCCCGGCTGGTGCCTGGCTGCTGGTATGCAGGTAGCTGGATGTCCTCCAAAACACACACCGAGAGTGACTGAGTGCTTCCATGTGGCATGGCTTTGAGATGACCAAGAACAGGGCCAGACTCAGCTTGGCTTCTTCCCAGAGAGACTCACCATTTTCTCAAAACCCAGAGCATCTCCGAGGCACCTCACGGCCCAAATCTTCCACCCAGCAGAGACTCTCAAATGAAGGGGCTGGGTAACAACAACGTCACAGTGAGTGAGTGAGACACAGTGCTCGCTCTCAACACTCTGAAGATGCTACCTCAACTTGGATCTGGCTGCATTTTAAGTTCATTTACAAGTAGACTAGTTCTCAACTAAAAATAACCACATGTGTTATACATTCCCACAGCTGCCTGGAGTTTCCTCTGAGAGAAGCAAGATTCTGTGTTTCACTCATGTTCCGCTAAGATCTATTTTAACCCATTCAGTGAAAAAGCTGCCACACTATGTGCTGGCGGCCATGACTGAGAAGCACTGTGCTCCTGAAGACACCTCACTAGCACCCTCCACTCTGCATCCACGCTGTATACCAGGAGGGACAATGTCCCAGGTTATGTGCAGAAATAAAGCAGGGAGGGCGGGCCGGCTTTCCTGGTTCCTGGCTTATTTTTAACAAAACAACTGTTATCAGTATCAAGACTTTGGATTTTTGCCTTTATTTATCTGATGATTTAAATGTAAGTGGTGTCTGGGCTAAAATCAGTAACTTATATACATTGCGTTCCTTAACATAGGCAAAGACACCTCTAATTTTCTTTAATAATCTGATTATAACTGATCTATGCTATTATTAAATTATATAGAGAAATTTCTTTGCAGAATAAGAAAACTGTCACGTTTAGCAAAATTCTCCTTTCAGAATCAAAGCTAAGTAGGTTAAAGTCTGGGCCAATACTATCATATTGTTCATCAGTGTTAGCACTATTGATCCAGGTTATTAGCAATTTTCCAATTTGTATTGTTGCAGTAACCAGAGACAATGTTTAGATTCTGAAATGAGAAACTTCTTCCAAGTGGGATTAAAGGGACTAAAGGATAAAGCAAATTTACATTCCAAAATAATTATAGCCCTGCCCTTGGGACCAGAGTAAAGGGTCAGCTCAGAACAGCCTGTCTCCAAGTATCTGGAAACTTTTTATTTTTATTTGTCTCACTGTACGGTTAGCAACGGTTCTGTTATTTCCCAGACAAACTCAATCCTACGAGCGACACACATTTACCTTCAGCAGTGCTGCCATTTTCAAACGATGGAGGAAGGTAAAGAGGATCCGGAGCTCTCCTTACCTTTTTTCTTTTGTATTTCCAGAATTTATGCTGAGAGCCTTCCAGACCGTGGTTTTAGGCATTTCATCTGATATATTAATCTCAGAAGGGTCACATCTGAAATCAAAGCTCAGGAAGTGAATGTCAAACATAGACGTGAAGGTACACCACCCCACCAGAAGGGAGAGGGGCCAGAGGAGGAGGGGCCCAGCTCTGATGAGGCAAGGTAGCCTTCGAGCAGCCTGTAGGCTGGCCCACGCCCCAGGCTGTGGGGACCTTCCCAGGGACCCGCTGTGTGGCAGGAGTTCCTTCACATCCTCACTTATATAACCAAATCTCTTCCATTTATAGTTTACAAAAGAACCTCATGGTCCATTAGCTTAAAACACTCCTAGCAAAGGAGCCTGAGCACAATCTTCATTTTGAAGGGCTAAGTGCCCATCAAATCTCAGTCAGCAGCAGTGTCAAGACTCCAGCCAGGATCCGTGGTCCTGGAAAACTCCAGAGCCACCTATGGGCCGATGGTCTCCTGAAATGCAGAGAGACAGCACCCACAGGAAAAGGAGCTGATCCTGCTTTGCTGCCAGAGATGTCAAACAGCACAGACACCTCAGAGACCACAGAAAAGACTTCCTGATTTATCCACGGTATAAACCACACCCAGTCTCATAACTCATCCGCTAACTCCCCACAATCGCCAGGCTCTCCTCACCTCTAGGCGTCTTCAGCCTGGGTATAGCGCCCAGCAGACACCAAGGTCAGGACTGAACCACACACAGGACATTCAGACCCTGTGCTTTGTGGTGAGCAGCAGGCCTGGTACAGAATGGAGCCTGTCTGGGCTTCGAGGTGAGCATATCCTTGGCTCCATGAATTAAAATGCTGTAACCCATATGGGCGTGACCTCCCTGCCTGTCCCCAGAGGCAAGCCTGGTGCAGGCATTCCATGCCACCAGGCTGAGAACTCGTGGAAATGAACTTCTCACCCTCTTGAACTTAGGAAAGTGGAAAAGAACAACTTGGGGTCGAGAAGTAGAGAGATTCCACCTGGAGCCTGACAGCATGTTAGCAGTGCTGTGACCCTGGCACATTAGCTAACTGTAGCAGGAGGAAGTGGATGGGGACAAAGGCAGACCCCCCCCGGACTCCCTGACATGGGACCAGGCACTGTGGCATGGGAAGTACACCGGCTGACACCGACTGCACCGCTCCTCAGGGCCGTGTGTCACAGGAACCCTAGCAGCAAGCACGCTGAGACCTGGGAGCTTTACCTGAAGCTGTTGTTCTTGCCAGGACTACTTAGCAACTTGCGGCTTTCGAGGGGGAACTTATCACCCGCAATGTCTAACATCTTCTCAGCCTCCTGGAAGAAAGGGGGAGAGCATCATCGTCAGGTCTAAAGGAAACTTCTCCCCAAGCTCAAAAAGACAGAGCATGTGTCCAGAAACAAGTCTCGGCTCAGCTCAAGCTGGACTACACAACAAGGCTTGCTAAAAGCCCATAGCCAGCATTTCCGGGAACCTGTGAAATACACCCCACCTGCCAGAGAAGGCTATTTCCAGTGGGTACACCTGTAGATGCTAGGTCTCAGGCTTCCCTGTCCCCCTGCCCCAGACACCTGTTCTGTGTAACAGTGAGGTTTCCCTGTCCCGTCCCCACTCCCATCGCTTCCCTCAGACGGCCATGTCCATGTCCAGGATGCTGTCTTTTCTCTGTGCTATGGCCGCCTCAGAGCAGCCATTTTGGTGGTTTCTTTACCACACCCTGGCTTACAATTATATCTTGTACCAAGTAAATCAAGAGTCTTCCCGCCTAGTTTTTACCACCAAGGTGGCAGGCAGCTTTTGTTCCCACTCATATAATTAGGTCCGTTCATGGGCTCGATGCCTCATAAAACATGAGGCCATCAAATAACAGAATGGAACAGCACTGAGAAACAGGAAGAACCCAAATGCGAGGGTGCCCTTAGAGCCAATGACCAGTTACAGGGACACGGGACACAAGACCATGTCAGTGTTGCCAGAAAAGAGAGGTAGGACTGCCTGAGGAGGAGGAGGCCCTGTGATCAGAGACTCAAGTTTCAGAGAGAGAGAGAGAGAGAGAGAGAGAGAGAGAGAGAGAGAATGAACACCATAAGGTGACCTAAAGAGGAATCAGCCAGTTATAAGGAGGTCTGGTCCTCTGTTATACTCTGACTCAGGGTGTTGAGGTAGTAACGGGGAGTCTAGGATGATGGGTGAGGTGCAGAGCTTCTAGCATTCGTGAGGATCTGACTCAGATTACCAGGACTCACATAAAAAGCTAAGCAGGGCAGCAAGCCTGTACTTCTGGCGCAAGGAAGTAAAAACAGGAGGATGGCGGTGGCCTGCTAGGCCACACAGTGAGCTCCAGGCAGCCTGTGCTGTAAACCAGACCTGGCATGTGGGTATTTCTGTTCTCTAAGGAGCTGTCTCCAGTCCACGCCAGCACTTTCAGTATATGTGCAGCCTGTCCCAACCACCGCGTTAAAGGGTTAGTTCTTACCAATTCCAACTTTGCTGTCAATTTGATAAATGAAAAAAAAAGTCTCAGCCAGGGACAGTGACACCACAGGCAGGAGGAACACAACTTATTCCATTGCTTTTATATTTAAAATTTTCAAGTTAAAACAATACATTCAAGACATTTAAAAAATTTTAAAATATAGTTGAAAAAGATGGCAGTGTCTACTGAGTGACAAGGTTCCTTCCAAGCCTGAGCTGGCAGTGGGAAAGAAAGAAGAAAGAAAGAAAGAGAGAGGGGAGGGAGGGGAGAGAAGTGCCTATCATGGTGATGAAACATGATGATCAAAAAGCGAGTTGGGGAGGAAAAGGTTTTATCAGGTTGACACAAAGCTGGCCAGTGCTGACAGAGCTGGCAGGCTGCCTCGAGACACTCCTAGCCCTCTCATTTTTGGCCTTTCTGTGCATGCTCCGGCCACGGGCTCAGAGTCCACTGTGGACATGGCAGGGTGCTAACTGCTGAGGGCAGTGAAGGACTGTGTGCGCAGAGCCAGCCATGGCACTGTCTGCAAGAGAAGCACAGCCAAATCTCTCAGAAATGATGGGTTTTACACGTTCGCCAAGTCAGGTCTTCTTGAAGAAAAGCAGCCCTCAGTGTGGCCCTCGGGATCCCAGGCATGCCGCCTTCCCTTCCACCCGGCCTGCCCTCGCTCTCTCTCTGTCGGGAGCGAGACCAGGCTACCTCCTCCTGCTTCTTCTTCGCATCGTCCAGCTTCTTCTTTTTGCTCTCGGGCATGAGGTCGTCCAGCCAGCTCAGCTCCCGCTTGGAGAAGCAGAGATCCATGACTTTCCTGACAAAGACCAAGGCCAGGACCTGATGAGAAGGAAGCAGGTTAAAGGGTGAGCTTCCCCACAGAACAAAAGAAAAATGATTTTCAGAGAAGTCTGGGACATTCCAAGCAAACCCGGGCTCGTGAGGATCACGACGGTAGTCGCTAACTGCGCGTCACTAGCACTCGGCACCCAGTGCAGAGGCTTTTTACGTTATTCACACATTACATTATTTTTCTGCTTCCATACATTTTTAAAAGTATGTTATTTCATATGTGCGTGTGCATGTGCACTATGTGTATATCTAGTGCCTATGGAGGTCAGAGATGGCATCAGTCTCCAGGAACTGACATTTAGTCAGTAATAAAAATGAGCAAAATATCCACTTCTCAAACTTAAGGAAAATCTGCCACAAGACAATGTGGGCAACGGGGAGAACCCGGTGTCAAGTGATGAACCAGGACAACCGGAGCCACAGAGACAGCGCAGAACCGTGCACCAGGACAACCGGAGCCACAGAGACAGAGCAGAACCGTGCACCAGGACAACCGGAGCCACAGAGACAGTGCAGAACCGTGCGCCAGGACAACCGGAGCCACAGAGACAGCGCAGAACTGTGGTTGCCTGCGGGTTTGTGGGAAGGGAGACTGACAAGGGGCAGGTCAATGAGTGTGGAGTTTGCTTTGCAGGATTAAGGTCTAGGAATGGACAGTGCTGTTGACCTCACAGCAGTGTTCTCATCCCACTGATGCAGACAGTGAACACAGGGAGCTTTTGCTGCACACAGTTTACAACATCTTCAAAAACAGCATTGCTAATTATTAATACAATCCACACTTAGCAGCCAGGCTGCATAGCTATAATCTCAGCACTTGGGAGGTAAAGACGGGTTAGCTCTGTGAGCTCAAGGCCAGCCTGGTTTAATTACACAGCAAATTCCAGGCCAGCCAAGGTTCCACAGAGAAAGCCTGTCTTGGGGGTTGGGGGAATGGGGAGCCAGACCTTACCATCATCGGGAAAACAATGGCAGCCGGTGACGCCTTGATGACCCAGAGCAGGACGAGGCAGGTGAGCTGGACGAGGGTGAAGAGGTGCGCTTTGCGCAGCGGCACGTGCCGCAGGTAGATGAAATCTGGCTGGTGTTTTGCAGGCATCCCGAAAAGCTTCAGACGGTCGAAGAACTGGAAGGAAGGACTAGCATTGGTGTCTGGGCGGTCTTGGGCCGGACACCTCCTTAAGCCCAGACATAGCAGTATACTGCCTGCTCAAGAGCAGCCAATACTGTTCCACTGAAGAGAAACGGAAGCCGAGTTACCGAGACAACAGGCGGTGTTAGTCAGGTCAGTAAGTGGAAGTCAGGAGACTTAGTGAAACCTACCAGTAATTACAGATAGTCTAAGGCAAAAGAATCGCCAAGAGTTTGAGGGCAGCCTGGGCTACACAATGGGTTCCAAACTAAGCTACAGAATAAGATACTGTTTCAACAAATCCCATCCCCCCCCAAATCCCTAATTCCCCAAACCCCACCTCTTGTGCTTGTTCTTTGAAGAATGTGAAGGATAAGTATACTGACAAGATCAAATGAGACTTCTTAAAACTCTGGATAGAGAAATTAAAACAGGCTGGAGCCAGAGATGTGGCTCAGGAGTAGAGGCTTGCTGCTGTACAAGCCTGACAGCCCAAGTTCAAATCCTGGGGTCCACATAAAGGTAGAAGTTGAAAAACAACTCCACAAGGTTGTCCGTGGACTGCAACACGCTGAAGCACATGTGCCTCTCACACCCATTTCACTCACACACACAGACACATATACACACACAGACATACACACACACTCACACACAGACACAGATACACACTACTCACAGACACAGACACACACCACACCATGGCACTCATGTGGAAGGCGGAGGACTACATGTCCCGGCTGGTTCTCTTCTTCCACCATAGGTCCCCAAGGACAGGACTCAGGCTGTCAGGCTTGGTATCAAGCTTGTTTCCTGCAGAGCCATCTCGGTGGCCCCAGTTTACGTCCTGGTTCCTGACTGACATTTCAGGTTCAGGTCTATAGGAATTTGGCAAAGCATCCTGAGTTTAATACCAAGTAACCAGTGGTTAAAAGTGACTGGAGCTATAATGTCAAGCCAAGCCACTCTGGAAGCCGATGCTCTTGTTCCAACATGACCATACTTTGTACCTCATATCTGAAAGACGGTCCTTGCACAAATGGCAAGACTGGGAACTAATTTCTCAGGAACTGGTTGTGCCTCCCTGGTCAGGACAAGTGAACACAGAGTAAGAGACATGTCTGTGGCCGAACCACACGATACCTGGATTCCTTGTAGAGAAGAGACTCCCATGTAGAGGAAAACCCCGTAGAGCACTGGCATCGGGATAAACTGCAGAGAAAGGCAATAGCTGTGGCAGCCTGGCAGCGCTGACGTCCAGCAATATTGACACAGAAGTTCTAGCAATTCTTGCTTTGAACTCACTATAGACAAGGCTTGTCTTGACTCATGGACACCTGCCCATCTCTGCCTCCTGAGTGCTGGGACTGAAGGTGTGCACCACCATGTCCCAACTATATAAACTGTTACTTCCAAAAATGAAGCAAAGCCAGAGTGTCATAAACATTGTCTCTGCTGCCTTTCCTCCAGTTAATGTGCACTGCTAACACCAAAATCATCTTGTTCTGGAATGAAACTATTACCTGTAAGGTAAGTCACAGCCTCATGGCTCCTCCCTAGATTGTATGTAGACAGACGGAGACGTGCACACACTCACACCCATCTCTGCTTGCACATGCATATACTTGTGGTCACCTGTGCATGCACGTGCACACATTCTTGGTCACGTGCACACACACATGCACAGAGACTTCACAGATGTAATTTAAATCTTTCTATAATCATCACATCCTCAGGGACTTTGTATTTGACACAGACTAAAAATAAATTCATGTTTTCTGACCTAAGACTTGAGGGCAGCAGAGAGGAAATCAGTTGAGAACATGTCGTTATACTGCGCTTTTTAAAGTGTCCACACGGCATGTGAACGTGGCTTTTCTGTCCCATCTGTTCAGCTTAGAGAAAATCTTCATGCAAGTGTGAGCTAGAGAAACAGCCCTCCAAAGCCAAGGCAGGGCAAGGGTCACAGCTCAAGACTAAACTCAGTTTCTGTTGTTTGTTCCCAAGGCTGGCCTTGAACTCACTGTGTACAGACAGTCCAGAGGATGGCCTTAAATTTCTGATCTTCCTATCTCCATCCACGTGCACCAACTGCCTGGCTGCTACAGTTGAGGACCCAACCCAGAGCCCGGCGCTGCTCCGTAGCACCCCACGGGCCTGCCCCTCAGTCTGCTTCCATCCTGGGACTAGAGGACAACACCCTTCCTCAGTTTGAAAGGCCACACTGGACTTTGTTGCCCCAACTGTAGAGTGACTAGACACTTCCATTTAGTGACAGGTTTGCAGCACTGTTGGATGGTGTTTGTGCTGCTGACTCTTCATTATCAATGTGACCCAACTTAGGAGTCACCTGAAAAGAGGAAACTTCGGTTAAGAACTGTCTGTGGGACACTCTTGATTGACGTGGGAGCTCCCAGCTTCCAGGGCAGCATCCTCCCTGGGCAGGTGGGCCTGCACTGTGTAACAAGTTAGCTGAGCAGGTGTGGGTTGTGAGCCTGTCTGGGGGAGGCCCGCCCTGACTTTTCTTCAGGATGAACCATTACCTGAAAGTACAAGATGAAGTAACCCTTTCCTCCCCAGGTTCCTTTTGGTCATGGTCTTTATCACACAACCGAAACCAAACCAGAACAATATTTATGATCCTAGCAATCAAGATGCAGAGACAGTATGATTGATCAAAGGTTCAAAGCCAGCCTAGTCACATAGTGAGTTTTAAGCCAGCCAGAACCAAATAAGACCGTGTCAAAAACAAAATCCCTGGGTAAGAAGGGCTGGGGCAGAGCTCAGCCCTACGCTGCCTGCTTTGCATGTAGAAGGCCCGGGTGGACCTCCAGCATAAAGGGAGCCACTCTGAGAACGGAAAACAGCACGGTGGGCGAGGCGGTCCTTCAGATCACTTATCACATTCTATTACCATGTTCATTTTCTTAAGCACATTTAACTGTCCACAAGAATAACTTCCTCCAGGGCGTGCATGTGTAGATCTACTAGAGCCACTGCGCTCCTGCCACAGAGACCCTCGTGTCTGCTTGGCATGCTAATGAAGGAATACCTTTAAGACAGCCGTCATGAAGACTGAGCAGCCCATCAGCACGAAGATCATAAGCCCCGTGACTCTCTGTTCTCGGATGCCCAAGAACTTGGGCTGCTCCCCCGGGGCAGAGCATTCGGACTCCAGCTTGAGGCTATTCACATGTGTAATGGACAGGACGGTCGCAGCCACAAACCAAGGCAGGCCCATGATGGAGCAGACTCCCAGCATGACAGCCACCATGAGCAGGTCCAGATGGTAGCCACAGCCTTTCTGTGGGGAGACAGTCACCTGCAGTCAGCTGTCTAAAGTAGGGCATCTAACGCTGAGCTAAAGGCTTTGGGCTCACAGCTATTGGGGGCATGAGGGGGGGATGAGGGGGTATTGAGGGGGAATGAGGGGGAATGAGGGGGTATTGAGGGGGTACGAGGAGGAGGGTGTCCAGAGAATTCTTATAGTCCTCCCAGATAGGAGCAAACAGAAGAAAAACAGAAATTTTAGCTTGTCATATATATATATATGCCAAAATCTCCAGTCGCCTCCAGCTTACTCTGCATGAATCTCACACACTCCCAGTCAGCCTTCTCTGGAAGAAAACCAGAAGGGAGCCACATCTTGACCATTCTAGATAGTATATGTTTCTGTTGAGTTCCTGACCACCACCGCTCATCCTTGCCACAGAGATGAAGGCACACAGCACCTCACTAACACAGTCTGAGTAATCTATAAGCTCGGGACCCATTTTTGAAGCCACATGATTGAACCTAGAGGAGAGAATTCCTGCCTCTGGGAAACAGGTTCACATCTCTGAGCCAAACCTTGGGAGAGAAAGCTGTCTAGCTGTTGATTCAGAACCATAGCTATTTAGGGGTCAGCAGGGCCTCTGCCCGCCCGCCCACTGAAGCACACGCTGATGCACGGCTTGAGAGGAAAGCAATGGGTGTGCAAGTTCCTCCCACATCTCAGCACCAGGCTCCACTCCAGTCTCACCTCCAACCAACCTTTGTTACTAATGGGCAAGCAATGAAAAGCCCTTCTGAGACTTTCCTCTCCTCTCCAGCTCCTGGTACAGATGGGCGCATCCTAATATAAAACACTAACCAGCTGCAATCTCAGCCTCCCGAGTCAGAGGCCCTGGTCACCTTGAGCTTGTGTTCCTTCCTGTTAATGATGACAGCGGTGATCTGTTGGTCCATGAAGATCAGGATCGTGCACAGGAGAGCTGGGATAGCAGCAGCTATCACGGTCCACCAGGGGTTGGGGCCGATGGGGTTAATAAACCATCCTCGATCATCCCTCGTTGGCTAAGAGAGAAACAAGCATAGTTTCTGTATCTTAACTCTGGAAATGAACACAAACCAAACCACACTGAACATTATTCCACTTGTCTTTTTGTTCTCCTTTGAAGAAAAGGCTTATAGAAAAAACAAAACATGAGCTCTATCAGACATCCGACCTTTCTGCCGGGTCCCCTTTGAAAGTCACTTCCCACTTATCAGCTTCCTGTGGAATACACATCAATCCTCACTGTCTTCCATTTATTCCCAACTTTATCTCAGCCTCAGGGCAAGTAAAGCATGATGAGTAACTAATCTGTTGTCTAAAATCACCTTCCAAAGACTAAACAACACAGACAACCCTCACCAACCCTCGCCGAAAGCCATATAGTCTGTGTCTGAAGTACAGAGGAAAAGCAAACAGACTCAGATTTCTTGGGCTGAGAGTAGGTTGTCCCATGAGCCCCTCTCATCAGTGGTGAAACAGGAGTCCAGGAACTGGAGGCTTCAGGAGGCCCAAAGCTTAGAGAACTGTCTGATCGGGACCCTCTATCCTCGGCGACTTTATAGGCCATTTGCTCAAACTATTGTCCCCATCCTTGGTGCACTCTAGAGAAAACACACGTGTGCTGGAGGATCACCCCGAATGACCCAAACCTCAGCAAATAAAGGAAAGACTGCTGTATCTTGTTGACACATTAGTTACAATACTTGGGCTCAAAAACTCTTCAATAATATTGGCAAGTCCCGGATTTTGAATCGGCTAAATAAATGTTAAATGCTTTAGAACGGATGTTTCTGTAATAAGAGTGTTCTGGGTGTAGTCCCAGCTCTCAGACCGACACAAACATACTAAAGCACTAACAACATCACAAGTAGTCATAGCCAAGTTCATGAACTGAAGACTAAAGATTCTGGGGGAGACACCTCTGCCAGACACATACAGATGTCATCACTGTTCTCCACACTACAGAGTGTGACACCATCTACACTGCTCTAAGTGTTACAAGCAATCTAGCTTAAAGCATAGAGGACCCTGCAAATAGGGTGTGTGCAAATACAGCATTTCCTTTCTAGTATAGCGAAATCTGAACCTTGGAAGCTACCCACCTATGGCTATGGAGAGGTGGCTGCTCCTGCCTTCAGTCTGGCTGAGGGAACTGCAAACTGGCTGCTTCAGGAGAAAGACAGGAGGCAGCTTCCTCTCTGCCCTGGGAGCCACATCTTCTCTAAGCTCCTGTTTCTCAGTCTTGTCTCTCCCTGCCTCCCAGAGGTCCCAGGAATCAACTCCCATCACAGGACTTCCCCAAGGACCAAATGCTCCAAACTCACCTATTTTTATACACAATCCCTTTGTCCTACAGTCAGCTAGGTATCAGGGAGAAGGCTGGTGGTGTTCATTCACACAGGGCTGAGACATGGGGCTCTCAGCTGTGTTATATGGATGGAGGGTGTTTCTTAAACCATTCCACATTTTAATAAGCTTAACAGAATTAAACAGACAAAACAGAAAAAGTATACCAATAGTTTGTCTGTGTAATCACCATGGAGCAGCCCTGGCTGGCCCGGAACCTGCTATGTAGACCAGGCTGGCATCAGATTCACAAAGACCTGCCTGCCTCTGCCTCCTGTGTGTTGGGTCTAAAGTGTGTACCATGGAGCATCAAGGACTGCCTCTACCACTGTCTTCCTGCTATCCCGAGTTCTTACCGTCACTGGGCTTCGCTGCTTTGTGGGTTCTTCTTTTTCTCACCCTTTATCCCCCAGTTTCACCCCCTAACACTAGATAGGAGAGAAACAGGATACAGGAGAAAGGGAGAGAGGGAGAGAGGGAGAGAGGGAGAGAGGGAGAGAGGGAGAGAGGGAGAAAGGGAGAGAGAGAGAGAGAGAGAGAGAGAGAGAGAGAGAGAGAGAGAGCGCGCGGGAGAGATCCCTGGGCCTCACCCCTTTCCTTTTGTTTGTCTTTGACCATAACTAACAACAAACCTCAACCAACCTCCCTAAATGACCAACCACTCCCCACTGGCCTCTTGGGGCCCTCAAAATTATGTACGATTTGAGAAGTTCCCAGAATTCCAAACATCACATAATCGCAGAAACTGTCCGAAGCTGGCAAAACCACACTTCTGCTGGCGCCCGAGGAAAATCATGTCAGCTGCTGCAGTCTGAAGCAGCCCCACATCCCACACTTGGGGCTTAAAACAAAAGCATACTCTTATGATTGTTTCTGAGTTTTTTTTTTTTTAAGAAACCAAGATTCTCAAAAATGTCAGTACACTGTCCTATTCCAGAGTCTTCTGAGGTGGCTGAGTATGCCCAGGCTGTCTGTCCTCTCTGCCCCACGAGGGTCTGTGGAACTAAGCTCAGCTTCCCAATCTCATCTACCTGTAACTCTTGCACTGAGTTAGATTTGGGATCCCAGTGATTGATCAGTATTTCAGCTTGTATATAAGATTTTTAACTACTGTGGATTATCAAGAATTTGACAAGCAACTGAAGAAATCTCCTGATGATCCAGGAGTAGCCCTAGACTCCACACAAGTTCTTCCAAGGTCTGAGATCATTTCTATGCCTTCCCAGTTCCCCAGGCTACAGTTCTGTGCAGGTGGTATCAGCCAGCTCCCTCCGTGGACAGCCTCGCCACAACACCACGTCTTTAAGTCAATGGGCACTTTCCGTTCTCCTAAAGCTTAGCAGGACAACGTTTCATGATAACAGATGTTACATTTTGCTTTCTGAGCCTCTGAGCACTCCCTGAGGTCAGCATACGCTCGGGCACGGAGCTCCCTGCGGTCCACTCACCTTGAACACACTGGGAACCTGAAGCTTTGGCGAGGGGATGCCAATCAGAAAGTCAAGGATCACCATGGTGAAGATGGTGAGGAACACAGCGAAGTCACTCACCATGGAGCGAACCTGGCACGCAAACAATCGGAGGGAGCGGTTAAACAAGCATGGAAATTAGCACCTGAACTAACATGAAAATATTTAAACAAGACTACTTTAGTATACTCAAAGTATACCCACAATATACAGCTCTAATATGGAAAACCAAACCTCTGACAAAGTCTAATGAAATCAAGACCAGTCTCTAAACAGTGCAGTTTGGGGTACCCAGGCCCAGGTTCCGATTTCTGGGTCCAGCCAAGGTCTACTGTTCGAGCCCAAACCTCTGCAGCAGCAGCATGTTCAAGTCCTCCCACACCCAGCATCCACATGCGCCTCAGCTGACGTTCAGAGCGTGTCCAGAACCTGAGCGTGTTCCCACACTCAGCAAGTCACTGCCATCTCTCACTGGGTTAACCACTTCACCTTTGCCCTCCAGTGCTCCTGAAACACTGCTTCTGGAGTAACAGAGATGAAGGAGAGAGGGTGGGGAGAGAAACCCTGTGATGGGGGACAGGGAGGGGGTGGCATTTGGGGTATAAATACATGAATAAATTAAAACAGAAACCCTAGTTGAATCACACCTTCCTCTACCAACTCCCCCAGAGGTCTCCTTGTTCAAAACCCCAAAGTTCCCCTCCCTGTGAGGTCCTCCAAGCTTGCAGAGCTGCGCCAGTGCTGCCCCACTGGTGACTGCTCCAGCCACACTGACTCCCCCACACACACACTACTGCCAACCCCCCCGCGCCGTGTTTGTCAAGCTAGCCCTGCTCACTCCCACCACAGTCTCCACACCTGCCAGGAAACCCTACCTGGGATCAGTCTCTACCTCCTGAGAGCAGATTCACGAGTGGGTGCCATGATACCCAGACTTTTTACCTGGGTTCAATTTTTCTTAAACATCACAGCCACGTGTTTGCAAGCACTTTACTGATGAAACAAACTATCTCTCAGAGAGCTAATACATTTTTGCTTAATTTTAAGCTTCAACTCTAAGCCTTGCTGTAAATTACATCCTACAAGCACAGTAACTCAGAAAAGCACAGACTCACTCTGCACTAGAGAAGACCTTCGCAGGGTCTTCTGTGTTCTTTCCCTGTGTGACCCTGTCGGAATACTTTAAAGACACTCACCAAATCTGTTTCACTGTAGCTTATCTGGATGGAGGTCATTTGCCGTGACATGGTTAAGGATCCTTAACTGAGACAGAGTCTCCCCAGCACTGCGGATATCCTACTACGGAACTATCTGAAATTCACCATTGCCCCCAGTACTTCTTTCCTGCTTCATTTTTTTTCAATAGTGTTTTTTTTTCTTTCTTTGTGTGTGTGTGTGTGTGTGTGTGTGTGTGTGTGTGTGTGTAATCGCATGTGTGGTGTGTGTGGTGTATGTATATGAGTGTGGTGTGTATACATTTATGTGTGTACATGCATACGGTGTGTGTGCATACATGTATGCAACCACGTGTGTGTTCCTATCCATTTTAAGGCCTATCCCATGTCAGAGCTTAGGGTGCTTTAATAAAAGACAGGGACTTACACCTGCCATAATCTCAGCTTCCCACAGACGGCAATACACACACATGTGCATGCACGTGTAACATTTCTTTGCTTTGGTTTGCAGCATGCTCTCCATGGTTTTGATCACCGTCCCATGCATTACCTGAAGCTCTATGCCCACGCCATGAAACGACCCTGTGCATTCTGGATCCACATGGAGCCTCCTTCTCTGCTTTGAGCTCTACAGCCCCGACTCCCAGGCCGATGGCACCAACTTTCCCTGTGCTTTCCCTTCATGTCCAGGGGAGGAGAGTTTTGAATTAAAGTGTTTATTTACTTACTCTGTGTACATGTGCACACACCATGACACATGTGTACATGTGCACACACCATGTGTACATGTGCACACACCATGACACACAGGGAGACAGAACAACCTGAGGAAGTGGTTCCTCACCATGTGGGTCCCAGGGACTGAACTCAGGTCATCAGGCTTAGCAGCAAGCGTCTTCACCCACTGAGCCCTCTCACTGGCCCTGCAGAGATCTTTGTGTACCTCACAGAGCTTTCCCAGGCTTGAGAAACTAGTTGTACCTAGCAGCCACTTGATAACTATTTGTCCCGATAGAAAACAGGTCATGAACTTAGCTGATACACTCAACTACTCTGCAGGTCACACGGGTCTAAGAGGGGTTTTAATCCACAGAGCCCGCCCGCACCATCATGAACTCAGGTGCTCACTCGAGCATAGCTGGATGAGAAACCTCACAGAAGCGACGGCCACACAGCTGCTCAGCCTCAGGCTCTTGTTCTGCTTGGCCTGAGCAGACCTTTGCTCTTGAGGCTTCAGCCAGTCAGGGAGGGAAACCAAGCCACAGGCAGGCCGGCTGCTGCAGCCAGTGCAGCCAGGGAGTTCATAAGCTACGGCAGGAACCGTGGGTGGGGAGGGGCTTTTGGGTACTTTATACTGTGCGAGATAAATCTCTCCAACTGACTGTTTTCAACACGCCTGCTCTGGCCTTACGTCCAAGTGTCTAGGAATCTGAGACGCGAAACTTAGCACCTTTCTGGAAAGCATAGGTAATCCTCTAGAGACTTTTCCAGCAACTTAACTTACTGGGCCCCTTTGAGTCACAACATTTTAAAGCCTCCCCCTCCTTCCATAGCGTGGAGCTGGGGAAGAGGCTGCCAAGTGCTGGAAAAGCCTACTGTCCACTGCAGCAAGGGGCAGAGAAGGGTTCTGACAGCAGGCTGACCCAAACAAAAGAAACACAAGCATGCTACCTACCCTGGTCGGGAAGTAGCGGCTTGTCTTAAATGTCTTTAAGGTGCTTGAGACGATGAAAGTGGCAAAGAACAGAATACAGGACCAAAAGAGCACATCAGGCGTGTAGGGTCCGTGGTGACCACAGGCGGGTCCCATGAATTCCCCGTGCATCTCCTGGCATTCCTGGAGCAACAAGCATTCTGGGTGACAAGAGTTGGGCACACATAACCAGCTACTGGCTTCTGAGTTCACCATGCTCTGCCATCCCACGGTTGCTGGGGAGCACGGGCCCCACATTATCCACTTGACCAACACAGGCTGCAGCTCTTGCTAGCAGGTCCCTGTCAAGAAGGCTGTATGGTCCTAACCAAGACACTTGGACATAAAGTTAGAACTGTCTGGAACAGACATTTCTTCCTAGGCTCTGGGAAGAACTTTGACTAACCGACAGAAACGTGCATCAGCTAATAGCTCCCACCGTGGATGCTACAGAGATCATCAAATAAAATGTCAAAATTTTAGCATGAAAACAGCAAGGAAATCTGTAACTATATCAATATGATTTAGCAGAGTTAACAGTAACAGGCCCACACAGGGTGACCAGTTATATGATCAAAATAGCCCATTTTTAGACTCCAGACAGGTCTCACCATATAGCCCTGAATGGCCTCAAACCTAAAATGTTTCTAACCTTGCTCTCCCAAATGCTAGGATCACAAGGTGAGCCACTAGGGCCAGCTTAAGTTTAAACGCCAGGGTCCAGCTGAGCAGAGTGCTGCTCCACCTCCACCTAAAGTCCTTCTTAGACAGAGGGTGTCATCACAGAGCTTCCGGCCATGCCCAGACTTACGCTGACAGTCAGGTTTGCCCAGTTCACTTCTGCAGTCAGGATGTTGTGGTCCTTCCAGAACTGTAAGGTGTGGTTGTTTGGATTCTCCGGGAGCACGCACCTGCAGCTAGGGAAAGGGGAAGACAGCCCTAAGGGAAGCAGCCAGCTGGTTACGAAATGCTCTTAGCCACAGCTAGGCCGGAGCCTAAGAGCTCTCTTTCTCGTGACTTCAGGTCTCACAAACAGGTCCTGAGAGCCGAGGCACAGTCAGTACCTCAGCAGTTCTGTCAAGTGACAGCACTCCGACTTTTGCTTCACCTGTACACTTCGTAGTCATTCCTTTTATAACTTATGATGTAAGCTTCAGCTCTCTCAAGAGGGAAGCCTCAAACTACCTTAGTTTTTAAAGATTTCACCCCTGGGCTGGGAGGGCGGCTCAGTGTGCAAAGCCCTCGCTGTGCAAGCATGAGAACCCAAGTCTAAGTCTCTATATGCTCAGGATGCTGTGGGCATCTGTGATCCACATGCCTGTGACGGAGAGCGAGCGGGAGACAGAGTCCGTGGACCTCTCGGTCAGCTAGCTGGGAACATACAGTGTCAAACAACTGTGAGACTCTGTGCCAGACAAGACGGTGGGCAAAGGCCAATGCCTGAGGCTATCCCCTGACCTCTACAAATAAGCTGTGATATGTACACACCTGTTTCCATGCACATATGCACACATGCACAAATGTGCATGCGCACACACACATATATATGTATTTATGTATGTGTGTGTGTGTGTGTGTATATATATATATATATATATATATATATATATATATATATACCCAAAAAATCCATTCCATAAGATATAGCAACTATTCTGATCTGATCATTACATATTATATACATGTTGAAATATCATATTTGTACTCCATAAATATCTTCAACTACTACATGCTAATTAAAAAGAAGCCTAGCATGCCACTATGCACCTGAAGTGCCAGCCATGTGGGAGACAAAGGCAGAAGCACCATCTGAATTCGGGAGTTTGAAGCCAACTTAAACAACATATCCTGTCTCAAAAACATCAAATAACAAGGCTGAGATGACTCAGTTAAGAGTGCCCACGGTGCAAGCATGAGTTAGCCCGTGTTCAGGCGTGCCTCAGAGCCGTGTGAAAACGTCACTTGTGTCGAGGGCTACTTACAAGCCAGAAATGAGGTTAAGACAGGATTCCTGGGATCAAGTAGGTGGAACACACAAGATTTCTAAGATGACAAAACTAGGCTTTAGGATATTATCCTGGGGGCCAGTGAGATGGCTCAGTGGGTAAAGCCATTTGCCACAAAGCTTGGTGACCTGAGATGATCCCTGGGATCCACGTGGTGAAAGAAGAGAACCAACACCTTTCAAGTTGTCCTTTGACCTCCAAACAGTGGCCATTATACACATGTACACATATATACGCACATACGTGTACATATGCACACAACTAAAACATTAAAAGAAACTCTCCTGGCTATTGCTGACCTTTATTGTTTTGGGGGTTTTGTTTTGGGGGGGGCAGGGATCTAAAATGGGTAAGCCTTAAAAAAAATCATGGTATATTTTTTGTGATTATTTCTTCTTTCCCTTTCTTCCTTTCAAGCCCCCTCCCTCCCCCCCCCCCCCGCTCTCTCTCTCTCTCTCACACACACACACACACACACACACACACACACAGGTGAGCACTATCAAGATACACTGCATACTGAAATCCATGCAGCACACTACTGAGTGGTGTAAACTGGTTGACTCCCACAGCTTAGGACAGCGAAAGTTCCTAATTCTGTAAGTGAAGAAACCAAACCAAAGGAAGGTGTGCTGCAGACACATGCTTACTAATAGAGGCTCAGGCGGTCCAGCTGGCTGTGCATGTGGACGGGGTAGGTCTCCGCCAGGTGAATCAGCTTCTCTATGGCTTCATAAATGAAAATAATGCAAATCAGGGAGGCAAAGGCTTCCTCGGTGAACCGGGTGATGTAGCAGACGAGGGAACTGGCGTCGGTTGCCACCAGGACGACACACAGGAAGGCAGTCCACAACCCGATGCAAGCACGCAAGGAGAGGTACGAAAGGGCGTAGTCCCTGAAAAACACCAAGGCTCATGAAGAAGCTCGGAGACAAAAGGACAGTGTGGCTTATCTCACCGTGTCCACTCCAGCACTGAGACCTGTTGTCCCCGAGACAGCATGCACTGCACTCCTCAGTGAAGCCTGGGGACAACCAGTTCAAGATCTTCACAGGGTGTTTGCAGGGTAAAGATACAGAAAATGGAGGAGGAGGAAAATATGGCCTGTGCAGTATTTCCACATTGCTGCCCAGTGTGGTCATGCCTGGTTGCAGTAAGGAAATGGGGCTGACCCTAGTCCTATGAGCTTCTGCTTCCAATACAAAGTGGAACAAGGATCTTGAAGAAAACTTTGAAATTAGAGCATTGCTAGGTCCCCACCACCATTCACTGAAAGAATGTGGAGGAGGGAAAGTAGATCCAACTTAAAAGTGTCCTAAAATGTAAGTGAGTGGCGGGGGGGGGGGGGAATCTGTATCAGTTAAGATATTTTTCTTAAAAATTAAAAAGTCGGGCTGGAGAGATGGCTCAGTGGTTAAGAGCACTGACTGCACTTCCAGAGGTCCTGAGTTCAATTCCCAGCAACCACATGGTGGTTCACATCCATCGGAAATGGGATCTGATGCCCTCTTCTGGTGTGTCTAAAGACAGTGACTGTATACTCATATACATAAAATAAATAAATCTAAAAACAAAAAAATTAAAAAGCCAGCTGGGTGATGGTGCACACCTTTAATCCCAGCACTCAGGAAGCAGAGGCAGGTGGGACTCTGTGACTTCGAGGCCACCTAGAAAACAAGTTCCAAGATAGCCCGGGTTACACAGAGAAACCTCTGTCTCAAAACAAAACAAAATGAAAAGAAAGAAAGAAAAAAGAAAATAAAAATTAAACAATCCATCTGAGCATGATGGAGCAGCCATTCAGCATCAGGAGACCAAAGCAGGAGGACTGAATGCAAGGCTAGCCTGTGCTACAGTGAGTTCCAGGCCAGCCTGGACTACACAGAGACCTTAGTTCAACATAAAAAGAGCTGGAGAGATGGGTCAATGGTTACAAGCCCTGGCTGCTCTTCTAGAGGACCTGGGTTTGAATCCCTGCACCCTCATGGGGGCTCACAGCCCTCTGTAACTCCAGTCCCAGGGGATCACACACTTTCTTCTGGTGTCCATCACACTGCACACACAGTGCACAGGCATGCACGCAGGCAAAATGTCCACCGTTATAAAATAAAAACATGTAAGTCTCAAAAATTGAGAGATCTGAAAGGCTGAACATGTAAGACTTTCTGTAATGGCGAGGAAGATGATTAGCAGACTCTGGAGAGAAAGGCCACCTGTAGCTACTCGAGCTCTGGGGAATGCCCACCCCTCCTCATGCCCTCGTAGCAGCCACACCCTGGTACTGTCAGGAAACCAATGTCTTACTTGCAGAATTTGAACAAAATCTTTTCAAACACCAGCACGGGCCCGGTGCTTCCCAGGATGGTGAGAGGCTGTCCAGCAAACAGAGAGTAGGCAATCCCTGTCATGGACGCTCCAAACAACGACTCAATTGCACTCTGAGGAGGAGAAAAACAAAACAAAGCACAGAGTCCAGAGCCCTGTAACAGAGCCGGGCTGGCTTACCACACTGACTAGCTGCGCCAGGCCAAGAGTGATGGGTACACAGTGCCTGGTTCTCCAGCAAATAGACACCACTTTAATAACCCAGGTACCAGACCATCTGCCGTGACTCCTCAACTAAGGCCAGATTCGGTATAAAAAGCACAGTGATGAGTTCACACCGGGAGCTATCGCAGTCACTGAATCTTATTTTCAAACGGTATCAGTGGATCCATTTTCCATTCTTGGGGTGGTGAGCAATTCACCTAGGCAACCAGGCACTGAAATGACATCTAAGCAGAAGGGATATATATACCAGGAAGAACCGTGCTCCCCCGTAACTCAGACCACCAGCCACTCAGGGGAGAGGATCCGGTCTTCCCAGCCCTGGCGAGGCAATGTTTCCCCAGAGGACTTGGGTGCTGCCGTGATATTCTGAATCTCCTCTGGACCCTTAGAAACCATGCAGCGGTCTTACTATGCGTCCTTCTGTGGCCTCTCCCAGCAGTCCCCCAAAGGTGATGACAGGCGACATGCAGGCACAGTACAGGAACAGGAAGGAGGCCAGACACTGTAAGCTGAGAGCGTCCCGGTAGTCGCTCCAGTACCAGGGAGCCTTCCGCTTGACATCCAGCACCAAGCCCCCAAACAGCCTGCAGAGACATGGCAGACAGGCCTCTAACACAGTCCCTCTTCTTCGAGGGCGTGGAGCGGCACACATTCTAAAGTACCTCAAATGTGCTTGGTAATAGTTTAGCCTCAACTTCACCCCAAGCACAGAGCCCTTTGGAACTGGCACAGACTCTGTTATAATCACGGGTATGACATATGGTAAAACTGAATATGTATGTTCCAAGCATTTAAAAAGCTAATTTGGGCATGCATATTACCCACTTATCAATACTCAAAAACTAAAGAGGAGAAATGTTAGCTTCATTTTCAAACTAAGCTGTGGGAGGGAAGCACCTGAGAAGCACCTGAGGGACCCTGTCCTCAGAGGCTTTCCAGATGTAAAGCTCTTCAGGAGCAGGCTCACTCTGAACAAACCCCTGTCCCTCAGTCTTTGCATAACAACTGACTCATGCACTTGACCAGAAGGCCGTTAGGACCGGCCACCAGGCCTGGCCAGGCACTGGAGCTGTAGCAGTGAGCAAGACAAACGCAGCCCTGGCTCTCAAGACCCACAGTGCAGGAGTCAGGCAATGCATGATGGGGGCTTGGTGACACAAGTCAGGGACAGGTATCTCAGCAGGGGCTCAAAGGAAGAACTGGGAGACAGCCAGACAAGGTTGGAGAAACTGAGTCACAGAGGCAGTAAATGGCTTTAAGGAATTAGAACTTAATCCTAAAAGCATGTCAAGTTACTGACAAGGGTTAGACCGTGGGGCAGCAGCATGCAACACACATTCTAGAATGGTCCCCCTTGTGGCAGTGTTCAGAGAGCATGGGCTGAGGGGAGGGGAGGCTTGGGGGCTACTCAGGAGGGAGAATCAGTAGCCTGGACGGTGAGCTTCAGGGCTTTGGGGTTTCGCAGAGGCCAATGAAGAGCACAATGCTCACCAAGGGGAGCACAGCCTCCAGCTGAGCCCTTCCTTAAGAATGGAGCCTCACCTCACAGAAGCTACTAGACAGCACTGACTGACTGCCAGCCATGAGAGAGAAGAGAAGGAAAGGAAAGGAACGGGGTGGGAACTAATAACCAACCGCAAACTCTGACTGGATCCCACATCAACAAATAACTCTGAAAACATGGCAACGATCTCAAAAAAAAAAAAAAATCAGTGTGAGCTGAGCACTCCATACATAACTCAAAGAACCTTGCTGGATTACAGACTGGGATAACCGTTTGTGAAATGTCCTTATTAAATGAGGTACACACTGAGGGAGTTACAGGAAAATGATACCAAGGATTTGGTTTAAAATAATCCAAAAAACATAAAAATAAGTGAGAGGAAATAAGTGAAACAAAATTGGCAAAATGTTGGTAGAGCGGGCGGGCTCCCGGGGCCCACTAGGCAACCCTGCTCTGGAGGCAGGTATGGCTGCCCCTTTCTGCCTCTCCAAGAGCCCAGAAGACAAGCCCAGTCAATCCTGCTCCACTCAAGCCCCAGGCTGAAGCGGGGTGAAAAGGGGGACACGGGGTGGACACTGGCCCTCACTGTTCTCCTCGGGTGTGGAGCTGTTCCTGCACGTAACACCAGTAACACTGCCCGCTGGCCGAGTGTGGTCTTAGAGAGAGGAAGACCCGCCTTAGCATCAGTCTGTGTGGCAAGCCAACTCAGGCAGCCTCGGGGGAGGGACCAGAGGTCTGACTTAAAACACAGCATCATTTTGTCTTACCTTCTCTGGACAAAGAGACCCCGGGGACCTCTGTGGTGTCAGTGATTAGTCTGGGGATTATTCAAGAGTTTCTGGATCCTACCTAGAGCAGCATCTTGTACCAGGCCTCTCACCCTTTACCAACAACCCTCATCTGAGGGGTGTTACCCTGAGGAATGAATCTCCCACACCTCACTGAGGCTCCTGAGATTCTCCCACAATGCTCAGCCTCTTCATGGAGGTGAGTCCGTGAATAACAGGAGTTATGTGAAGCAGGAAGATACTGTCTAACTTAACTTCTAAGACAAGAAGGCACTGGCTCACACTTCATGGAAGGACTAAAAATTTTAAATTCTGATTACTTTATTTTTATTGTTTTTAGAGACAAGTTCTCTTTATAATGTAGCCCTGGCCGCCCAGGAACTCCCTTTGTAGACTTGGCTGGCCTTGAACTCACAGACATCCGCCTGCCTCTGTGTCCTGCGTGCTGGGTTCAAAGGCATGCACCACCACTACCCAGCTATGATCGTCTCTTTGCAGTTAGTCCCATATCTCCCTCATGAGTGAAGTCCAGACATGATGCAGACATTAATTAGATGTGGACACTTCTCTTCAGATTTCAAACCTTCCCTTCTGACATCGTCCTTGATAATCACGTGTTTGGGGGCAGAAGGCACACAGAGATAAGAATTTAAACTTGCTGCAAGAACAGACTTAGCTATGTAGACAGTCACTACACTCTGACTCACTGGCTTAGAGAAACCGTCCTTGGAGCAATTTAGGGACAGGCCACTCATCCATTTCCCTGGTATGCTTTGACAGAAACCTGTTTGAAACCTGTGTGTGTTGGGGGTGGGGGGGAGCGTCCTTAGGGATTGGTTCTAATGCTGTCTCAATTCAATTAGCCTCCCAAAGGCCATGTTCCCAGATGCTGAGGGTCACTGCCCTCAGCTGGATTTGACTGGCATTGTACCCGTACAGCCAATGGCTGGGCAGGTAGACCGAGGCGGGACCTTGGAACTGGTAGAGAAGAGAGGAGGGAGAGATGACCATGCCAGGGAAGAAAGACCAGACCTAAAGGCCCACCAACACGTGAGAATCAGGGAACGTGGCCACACGGGCCACTTCCCCAATTGTGTTTGGGGCAGCAGAGATTATAAAAGGTGTTAACTCAGAAGTACCGGAGGGGAGTGTTTGCTAGCAGCCGGAAAGACAAGAACTGCGCAGCCTTTCAGCTAGTCAAGGTGTATTAAAATTAACTGACGTGTGTGTGTGTGTGTGTGTGTGTGTGTGTGTGTGTGTTCCATTCTCAAATCCAGAGGGCTCTGGCTGGTGGCTGGGAGCACAACCGGCTGGGAGCACGAAGCAGTTTAACTACCACATGTGTGTGGGAGGGTAGGGGGTGTCACTGTGACAGCAGCTCTGGATTCTTTTCTCATCAGTTCTTCCCAAGAATTTCCATCAGAGGACCCTGCTGAGGAGCTTTCTGGGCCGCTAGGAAGCAGCTATTCCACTCTGCCCTGCTATACCCTGCCTGTGTGGACATCAGGAAGGCTCACCACACTGTCTCAGCCCTGGCTTGGACAGTCAGAAGAGCTCCCCATTGCCTCCGTGCTCCCCACTGCCTTCATGCTCTTCCTCAGAGTCCACTCCAGGGGAACTCCAGATGGTCCCTCGCCCCACACAGATAACTGTCCCCGAGGCTGTGTGTTTGGCCTCAAGTCTCTCCAACATGACACGCATACAGACACATCTCCTTTCAAAACTGCACAACTAATGAAGTGAAGAATTAAAAACACACCCACGCCAGTGTGTTCTGTGATTGTGTAGTCCAAAAAGCTCCAGAAACTTTCACTGTGTCCAAGGTTCACATTCACCTTTTACATAATTTTAAGTGGCCTGAGCGCCAGGAACAGAGTGGAGGCTTTGAGGCTTTGGAGTCAACAGTCTAGTAGGAGAGACAATGACAGCAAGGCTGGATGACACGGACTGTGATGGTGGTGACAGAAGAAGAGTTAAAGAACAAGTGCCCAGTGTCCACAGAGACACCAGAAGGCTTTCCAAAGGGAACAGCATCTAAGCAGAGACAAAGAATAAGTAGAGGAACACCAGGAGACGAGGAAGGAGAAAGGTGCTGTGTTCACATCGGAGGAATCCACATCTAGAAAGGGCTGGGGAACAGACAGAACTTAACAAATGGTTCAAGACAGTAGAATGAATACAGCACTGGACACATTCGTGCTGTGTCCCATGCGAACGTAAACCACAGTCAGTGGCGCTCTACACAGGAGGCTGGAATCAGAGGACGCCGCTTTCCTTAGCAGTATCTGCCGGTGAGCGGCACCCAGCATGCAACGTCTCGGAACTTACCGCCCAGTCCGCTCAAGCTCTGGCCCACTGTGTCCCCCATGTGGTTCCGGTTCTATGTGGCAAATGTTTCCGTTTGGAACGCCAGGCATTTTCCTTTTTTCCTTTTGACAGAAGGAAATAAAATGAGCCCCTCTCTGTCCTTGCTGGCAACAGGGTAACAAAGCCATGAAAACATTTGTGGTTTCCAAACATATCTGCGGATTTGATACAGTTGACTTTTCTGGGGGTGGGAGATGTATGTGTTTATGTATATAAACGGCTTCCTCAATAGAATCTGCTTCCTAACTACAGCTTTCCAGAATCAAGATGTGACCTAAATTACAGTTTCAAGTGTGCTTCGCTGTAATCTCACTGTCCTTTAAAATCCTGCCCTAGAAGGTCAGTTAATTCTCCTATAAACTAGAGAAAGAAGGACCTGGGCACCTGGGGAGGGGGTGGGTTCTGGGAAGAGCAAATTCACACAGGTAAAATGCCCAGCCCCAGCCTAAGTGCACACAGGAGCTCTCGCCCTGTCCAGAGCGTGTCAGGAAACCATCTGGAAGCCTAGGGAGCTCTTGTCTCCTCCAGTCTGTCTGTCCAGTCTGTCTCAGTCTGTCCGTCCAGTTTGTCAGAGAACCATCTGGAAGCCCATTTGCACTTTCATTATGCTGTTTCACTTGATTGCTTTGTGCATGACGGACTTCTGTGAAACATTTCCCTTTCTCCTCTATCCCTCCCGTCACCCCTGAGCCGGCTGACGTTACTGTAGATTAGTTTTTTATTCCTACTCTGATATTCAAGAGCTCCCGACAACAGCCACCACTATCTTACATGCATGCATTCGTTACCTGGGAAGGGACATTCTTGGGTGGCTCAATTCTAATGGACGGGTCCCACTCTCCCGGCGGAAGCACTGTCACCTGGTCCAGGAACTCGTCAATCCCTGCCAAGAGGTCATCCCGTTCTTTTGCTTTATACGCCACATCGTGAAAAATCTACAGAGAGGAAAAAGCTTAGGAAATCTCAGAATTACTTCACTTCCAACCATCTCCAGTGGTAGGGACACATGGACACTCTCCAATGGGCAGGGACACACAGATGCAGCCTCTCGGTGTTCATCCCCGCCAGGGTATCTAAGAGAGACAACGTGGCACTCAGCCAAGTACATGGAGCCTAAAGCTCAGTGTGGCGGTGTAAAGCCAAGCACTCCAGGGGCTACAGCAGGGGGATTGCCAAGTTGAAGGCCAACCTGGGTTAAAGAGTGAGACCCTGTGTCACGGAGCTAAGACGTGGCTCTGGGTTCTACAATTGCCACTGGATAGGCAAGGCTCACAGAGATTCTGTTAGACATGTTTGAAACTGGATGGGCTTACTACTGAACAGTTCTGTGAAAGAATCGAAGATCACAGACTCAGCCTACACGTCCCTCGGCCCACTAAGATGTATTCCCTGGAAACTCTACTGTACAGCACAGTACAGAACAATGGTGTGGGACACAATGGTGTGGGAAAGACAGGCCACAGCTTACAGGTGACACTGCCTAAGGGCATGTCCTGACCTTATGCAAACTGGTCTTATTTCCATGGAACAGAAGTATTTCTTTATGCAAATAACATCAATGCATTTAATTAGCCACAGTCTCAGGAAAGTTAACTCAGGTTTCACAAGTTACATTAAATACAAAGTCTACACATTCCACTTGGATTTTCTGCATCCTTAATTACTTTTTAAAAGGGTGAGTTAAGTGGCCATAGTGCTACACACTTATAATCCCAGCATTGGGTGTTCAAGGCCAGCCTGGGCTACATAGTAAGAACCTGTCTACATGAAAAACAAATGAGATAGCACAGCAAGAAAGGCCTCCCCAGGGGCTTGCCTCTCTCTTCAATGGCTCTCAGAAAGTCGCTTGAACTGCTCCCCAGCAGACGCTGTGACAACCGTCATTTTATCCCAAGCACACACTCAGTTTCTGGGGCAGAGCAAACAGTGTTTATGAGAGAATGAGGAAGGCGGGCGGCGTGTACCTCGTCCGTCATGATGGTGGCCATGGACCTGCCAATCTCATGGTACTGCTGCCCTTTTCCTACTGGGCCCAATAAGATAAACAAAAATCTGCCAAAACACACAGAGAGGGAGCTTTGTAAGTAAGGTCAGAGACGGGCATCCTACCTTCTCCAAACAGCAAAGCTCTCCCTGCTGCCACACAGAGTGTCACTGTGCCTTCAAGGAAAAGAACTACCCTGCAGCTGAACGTGGCAGTGCTATGGCCAAACAACACACGGAGCTGTTTATAAGACATTATTTAATAACGTGGCTGGCTACATTTCTTAGAGTTATCATAGACACATTTCTAGCTACAGGAAGGTTGTCTTTGCAAAACATGGCATTGTTGTGTAAATTCAAAGTTATCTAAGTCCCTTTCATTGTTCTAATAAGAGAATAACAGGGAAGGGATGGGCAAGGAAGCTGAAGGACCACTCCAGAGTCCTCCAGCTGAACTGTGCTCCCGACATCTGAACTCTATAATTAACGGGCTCCAAATCACCATGCCACCACCTCTGGGCACACAAATAACCAAGTCCTGCCAGTGCTGTGGAAAGACACCAGTACCTCTGCCTAGACAAGGTTCCCTGGATACTGCTCTCTGACTAGAGAGAACCTGAGGCCTCCCGGCATGAGGAGCCACAGGCCCTTGCTATGTTCTCTCTCTCTCTCTCTCTCTCCCTCTCTCTCCCCCTCTCCCTCTCCCTCTCCCTCCCTCTCCCTCCCCCTCTCCCTCTCCCTCTCCCTCTCTCTGTGTGTGTGTGTGTGTGTGTGTGTGTCCTAGTCTCCAAGGCCAAGAGTTCCACGTGGCAGCCCACTTCCATGCTCTCTGAGGAACCCTAACTTTTGGGATAACTAGTTTCCAGCACCAGTGCTCACACACATCTGCTTCGAGCAGGATGCCCTCTCATGTTACCTCGTTGGGATGGGCACTTCTGTCAGACCAGAGAGGAGCACAGCTGGGGACAGCCTCACAAAGGCAACGATGGGCCGGTCCAGAGTATCCACCTCTCCAACCAGGACATTGGAGGCCTCTGCCCCCGTGGGGATTTTTTTCATGAAATGAAGGTCCACCTAAAAATTCACAAGAGTCTTCTGACAGTTTGGGAGCCATCATTGTCAACGCCAATCTCCCTCTTTACGGCGCTATTTCATGTCCCACTCAAGGTTAAAAACGTCTCTCACTATTTTATCTGATCTCTACAAAACCCTGAATGGGGGTAGCACAGATCATATCAGTCCCACTATTTAAAAACAAAACAAACAAACAAATAAAAACCCCAAACAAACAAAGCAACTAAGACCCAGGGAGGGAACACCGACTAGAAATATATATGTGTAAATTAGCATGTGCACGTGCGTGTCCACACATGCAGCAGCACACGTGTGGAGGCTGGAGAACACCTTGTGAGAATCAGCACTCGCTCTGCTGTGTGAGGGTCTCAGAACGGAACTCAGATCCTCGGGGAGTGAACACCTTTATCCACTGAGCCACCTCAAGAATCAAAGTTTCAGTGCAAGAACTCTGCCCGGGATTCCACCCCAATGCCCACCTCCTCAGACACTCTGGGTCACCTCCTCAGACACTCTGGGTTACGCTATTGTTCTTTCCTAACACCTGACTGCTTCGTCAGATGCACCAGTCATAGCCCCTGAGAAGAGTCTGAACATTATGAACGTCAGGAGGCAGTCATACAATACCACTTTGACAACTTGAAGATGAGAAGGAACTACAGGGTGTCAGACACACCGAGGACCCAGGCTGGATGTACGAAGGGAGAAGATTCGGGTGATGGGCGCCCTTTCCACAGAAGCAGTGCTGGTCTTGGGATCATGAAATAACAGAGAGGCCATGTGCCACGTCTCCTCACCTTGCTTAAATCCACAGGGCTGTGCTCACAGTTCCCGCCATTCTTTACTTCAAGGTTTGTAGCTGGAGCAGACTGAGGAGACACGGTTTGCCCTGGTGGGAGAAAGTCAAGCCGAGTCTGCTAGGAGCTTGCCCTTTCCCTTCTGACACAGCCCCATCCCTCACAGCAGTTGTGACCTCTAGAGGCCGAGGGGACTCTGCGGCAGGGAGAGGATCTCCTTGCACTTGGCCCCACATGCACTTAGCAGTAAACAGGAGGCTTGGGTCCTCCCTCCATCTTCCTCAACAGTCAGGCTCTCTCTTCTCTACGGTGGTAGTGACCTTTAGCCAGAAGTGGACCTCTACATAAAGCTGGCAGAAACAGGTTCCTGGAAAAGGTCTGTACTCTCTAACTTAGTAAATACAGAGACTAGAAGACAATACAGACCAGGCCCTGCCCAGCCACAGGGAGGAAGCAATTAGCAGCTCAAGAGTTTGCAGTCCACCTGCATCTGGGCTCAGGCTTTAGATTTAAGTGAACTCCTGGAAATCCCATAACAAAGGGAAGGACGGCCCTGTCACTGTCTTTATTAACTTGAGATGTGAAGAGCTTTAACAGACTGTCCAGGGCCACATACTCTGCAGGCAGAGCCACAAGCACAAGTGTGAAGCCTGACTACGCTACGGAATTCTGTGGCTAAGCCAGGACGTTGGCTTAGTTGAAAAGGCTGCAGGTCCCTTCTCTGGCCCCAGATCAGCATCAGTGTGGACACTGGGCATTCTCCTCAAAGCTGCTCTCTTTCTGAGAGCGAGCACAAAGGGGGGATGGTACCGGTCCTTCCCCCCACCCCCACCCCCTTACTACTCATCAAAGAGACCGAGGATCTGAGCGGCAGCGCCTCCACCCTCTAGTAGGTCAGCATCCCTGGCTAGTCCCCCAATGTCTCACCCACAAGGCAGACTGCAAGCCCCCCAAATCCTCACCATCTCTGTCCATGGAATGCGGGTCAGACTGCTTCTTGCCAACCTCAGCAAAGGAGCGGACGATGGGGATGAGGTTGTTCCTCTTCTTCTCGTTCTGATGGTGGTGTTTCTTCAGCAAGGCCTCCCGCACTTTAACCCGCACGCTGTCGCTCAGGTCTCGGAGCAGCTCCTGCTGGTCCAGGATCAAGTCTAGACAGCAGAGACTCCATCAACACTCGAACCTCGAGGTCAGGACCAGAGACTCCATCAACACCCGAACCTCG